CACACTCCTGATCCCATGTCAAATGAATATACAGATGCATCTTCACCTTGTAAGAATATTTTCCATTTTCTAGGAACCTTTTTAAACTCTGAGTATTGAACAGACTGTGGTTTGAAAGCACGTTCAATGCTTTTCACAGATTTTCACAAATCTTTTGAGAATGGAGATGTCTGGAAATGACCTGACTTTTGCTTTTTTTCTTTCTTCTTTACTCTTACAACTTTTTGAGATTTTTGTTGTTTTTTCCACAGCTTGCTTACTCTGAAACATAGAATCGAAGATTATTTTTACTAATAACAAAACTGTTGTGGAAATGTCAGTTTTATGATAATGCAAAGAACAGTTATGTAAGGATGTGTGTATCTTGGCCAACTAATGCACGTGCTGGATTGTATTATACACTTACTGTTTGTTCTGTCAATAGACTAACATATATCAGAACACTTAAGTACTGCCAAATTTATCTGCCAAAGAAAAGAATTTCAGCATAGTTCTATGCCAAAACTATTTCTTAAACTGTAGATGACCTATGCCTCTGTGCTGTTTTTCCAATAGGAATATGCTAAACAGTGCTATTAATGGCCAGTACTACTACTACTGTTGTGGTTATAGCCGAGACCTCGGTGAGGGCAGACAGTGGGGCTGCAGCAGAGGAAGACGGCACAGGAGATAGTACTGTATTAGCACACTGTATTATTGTCACCTGTAGTCATTCTTAAGGTTTTAGTCAAGCTGCCTGATGCAATTGCCAAAATGGAAAATAGACTTGAAAACATGTATACATTGAACATTTGAGGCTTTGAATAAGTATTATTTGACGTGGAGACAATCAGAATCCAGAATCAGTCCCTGATGAATTACACTGCATCCTTACTGTGAAGTTATTGCAGAAATTTAATTGATTATAAATGGTATAATACAAAAATACGTACAGTTTCTGTGAAAGAGAAGCACGATGCAGGCATCCAGAAATAAAAAAAGAAACCAAACCAGGAATTTGGGAAGCATACTGTATTTGTGGAATAAATTGCATACCACTTTTACACTGGGAAGATCTCACTGGAAGGCAGACTGGAGTAAAGAATCACAGAAATATATTACTACCCAGAGTAGCAAATGGAGTTCAAAAAAGTACATCCCCACCATTTTCCCTGTATTGCTGCATATGTATGCAGTTTGGCATGAACTTTATAGAAGTCCAGGAACGAGTTCAAAGACAGAGCAGTACCTGCAGATTCTTAAATGCACTATGCATTACTCATTAAGTGAAACAAACGGACATCATGACACCTAATATATAGAAGGGAAATCCTTAAAGAAGTTTTTTTTAAAAATAGTTAATTACTTTTGCATGGGAACCTTTCTGCTTTAATGGGAAAACCCTGTCTACAAGAGACTAAATATCCCCTGACTTTGCTGAGATGCTTTAATTAAGTGTAAACCCTTGAAACTACTTCATTCTTCATACTACACCCAGGCTCATCCGTCTCTCCTGAAGCAGGGATTTAAAGCCAATGACACAAAGATCTCTTACCCCAGAGTAAACCTCAGCTGTTACTATTCCCCTGGACAGTGTGGATTTTCAAGTTAGAAGCTTGTCTCATATTCCATTTATTAATTAAAAAAATGAACTGTGAAGACAAAATTATGCATATTTTAACTGAGGTTAGCTGTTTGAGAATGGAACTGCATTCTGAATTAAAAGCTGAAAAACAAGTTATGTTGTTCTCCTGTCACGAGGGGGCACACCCCCTACCTGTTTTGAAATATTGACATCTCCTTTAAATTCATGTGAGGTACTGCCGCTTGTCTTTAATATTTTTATCCTCCCACAGATACTTGGAACCTGCTTAGTATCAGGATAGAGCCCATAAGCTACTGTTAGCAAATCCTGACCTCCAATCCAAAAAACCTCAACAAAACACAAAACAAACAACAAAACCCCCAACCACGAAGGGAAGCCCTATAGAAACTTGCCTTATGGAAAATCCCTTTACCCACATGCTTAAATTACTGGAAGGTATCACGTAAGTGAAGTTTCTCCTCTCATCATTCACACTTGCAGACATTATGTCCTGTGTACCATGTCACTCAACATATTTTTTGACTTTGACCCAACTTTCTACTTTTAGATTTTGGCCAAGGTAGTGCCAGAATATATGTATATACAATTCAAGTATATACATAAATAATTTAAATAAAAACCCCAAACAAAACCATGTAAGTATCACACCAGAACAGAATGGTGTGACAGGGAAGACTTGACAAGAATCTAAATCAACTACTCAGGAGGAAGCTAGATGAATTATTTTGGCAGTTACAGAAATCACTGTATGTTTTGCATTTAAAAAAAGGTAGTTCTTTTATGGAGTTTTTCCAGCAGTACTGAAACTCATGCTTGTATTTTTCCAATTTGTACAGCTTGATGCTTTATTTAAAACCTCCCATTTAGGACTAGGGTTATTTCTGTTTCCATTTAAAGATACTTGTAAAATCAGTCAGATGATCTGTAATTTGCTTGGTCTAATTCGTACTAGGGTAAATCAGCAAGGTAAGGAGAAAAGGTGAAAGAGGGAAAGGTACAGGACTAAATACAAGTTGGGAGGTAAATGATGAGCTATATCACATCATTATCACGTGGAGAAAACGCTTGTACAAACCTCTCAGCTTACACTGTCACCCCCTCTGGGGCGTCAGTTCATGACTCGAGATGATTAAAATGACCAAATATTTGACAAAGCAGTTTGCCTACTTCTGGCATCATTTAAATACTTTTTAGTTACAGAAACTACAGGGAAGTACTCTTTACTCTTGGACTTTTAAATTTCCATTGCTATACAATACATACAGGTGGAAAGAAGAGACTGAATTGTATATACTTACCCTTCTTTCATTAAGTACTTTAAAGGTCTATGGCTGAAAGATGCAACATAAATATCAGCTCTGAACGTTACTGCAGATCACTTGATTCTTACAGGGGAGTTTCCCCTCTTAGTAATTTCACTGTCGCCTGCTTTTTGCCATCTGATGAAGGCTCATTTCTGTATCACCTAGCAACAACGTCACAGTGTCCAGGAAAAGCGAAGGCTGAGCAGGCGGCGTTAAACCCTGTGGAGCTCCCACCCCTAAGCTTCTTAGCTGGCTACTGGAGTAACCCTTCAGTAGGTACGGTGTCTGCACACTGATCCAGGTGGAAAACGCTGCGTGAACACGAGTCTGGCTGGCTTTGAAGCCTTCTGTTATGTATACACGCACATCCCTCAAACATCAGCTTCTCTCTCTGCTCCCTGACACAGTGGAGTGTGTCGCTGAAACACCAACCTGGAGTAAAGCAGAGGATATCTTGCATTTTTTGAGAAACCAGAGCCAAAACCTTCTGCACTACTATTTCAGAGGGGCCAGGTAAGAGATTTTTACCTTTAAGTTTTCAATTCAATCAAACCATAGATTTACTTTGGCTGTACTATGATTCTCTCAGCTTTTTTCCTTGTGTAGGAAGAATGACCAAAATTAGAGCATGAAAGTGGGGAACAAAATCACAACCCCTTAAAGCAAACTAAATTTTCTGACTGGATTTAAAAAAACCCATATAACTAATGTTTCTAAAATGAGAATAAAGATTTATATCCTCTTTTTGGTGAAACTGTTAACTAGACTTTATACAAAAACTGCCACAGCATTTGCAATAGTAATTATGCTAAAATAATTATGACCTTAAACAGTTAAAAAGGTAAGTCACAATTTACAGAACATCATATTAAGTAAGATTTATATATGGACAAATGTCGTTATTTTCCATAAATATTTATTAATGTGAATAATGTTTTAAAACCAATTCAATAAGGTTGTCTAATTTAAAAAAAAACAAAAAAAACCACTGCAGCCACTGGATCTTTTTAAACCTTATTAGGATTGTAAAACGACTGATTATCAAATTTCTGTCCCTCATTTAGGTAAAGTGACTTTTTAAACTTGTATTTTAAAACTAAGCAATTAAGCTAAATTAAAGTCTATATTCCCAGTTCTTACAGCTCTACTCCCAAACTCAGAATTTTTTTAATTTTTTTTTTTTAAACAGCTGCCTATATTGCTGAATCTCAGGAAAAGACAGAGTATTCCAGCAGCAGTCTCATCACAGCTAAACACAGTAACACTGATATAGTCTCCGTACTGCTGTTAAAGGATTTCTGGTTTATTTAATCTGCATAAATCGTAAAAACCTTAGTTAAATATGCTTCTGTAACTATTTTTAAGAACCTTACGTAAATTGTGTGCATTTGTCTATTCTACCAGAAATTGCTCTTTTTTGTTACTGGGAGCTGTATTGGCCTAATTTTTATTCCATATGCACGCTCTTTTAAACGCAATACTGAGTCAGTCCTTATCACGTGTGAGTAAATGTTGCAAACTTTGCCCTTTACAATACATACAAATGAGCAGAAATTAAAGATAATGTCTTTTAAACACTTAATTTTCCATATATTATTGATTGTTTACTATATATGGTTTATAGGTAGACTGTATGAAGATAAATACATATGCTCACCTATATGTAGGCTTCAGGTGTGGATTTTCTCACTATAGTCATCTGCACGTGACTGGGGATAAAGATGTATAGAACTGTGTGAGAAATTAGCACACTGATTTTCAAGGAATCCAGAGTCCTAGGAAAAAATTTCTAGCTACAGAGGCGTTACGCATCTATGACTGCTAGCCTAGCCCAGAACTTGAAAGTATCATCATTAAATGGGAATGCCCTTTTCATGTCATGGTTTAGAGAAGACTCAGCTTAACGGAACGGTTAGAGAAGGTAACATATTAGCAGTGAAACGAATAGATCACTCTGCTATAAACATCACAGAATCCTTACAAATTTTTTTTTTGTGTCGCCAGAAAAAAAAATCCTCATGTACTTCCAACTCCATCTTTAACTTCCTCTGCTTTCTGACCTCTGCAAATGAACGTAGTGACCACTCAGACCGGGCCTTACTACAGCTTACCTCAGAACTAATCAAAATTAATTCCAAAATGGCTGGAAGGTTTGCACTGTAACTCCTAATAGCAGCTTCCATACCAGCAATAAAGGACAACAGGTCCACTCCCTGTATAAGTAAGCAAAACACCTCAAGACATTAAAACATGCTTGTACAAAATTATCTTATAAAAAATGCCCATAAGCATAGAAGGGGAGAGCTAGTAGCAAGAAAGCGTCCCGATTGCATAAAGAAAGAAGATTGAGAAAAATAAAGACTGTTTTTTCCAAACACAATATATTTAAAATAGGTCTGACAAATTATATAGCTGGTACTCGTACACAGGACACGTAATGAAAGGTGAATCAGTAAGCAAGACAAAACATTAGTCATATAACACCAATAATACAGTACTAGATACCCTTCAGTACATCAGATTAGTGATTGCAAACATTTTAAAAGCTGCCAAATTATTTCAGCACTTAGTAATTACTAGTAATAACTACCACTTCTCTCTCCAACCATCTATCTTAGTTAAAATGTAACAATAGTGTAGATGACCACGCCAAGATCCCTCAACTCAAGTTTGGGGGTTTCTCCCCGCCAATCAGATTTATCTCTCTATACACAACCCCTACACAGAAACCCCTATTAATTCAGTCTTCAGATAAATGCCAACATTTTAAGAAGCCAGGCCTCACAATAAACACAGTGTATCTCAAGTTTGTTGTAATTTATTTGGGAGTTATTCTCAAGCAATGTTACAAAACATTTTAATGTCTTGATAAGAAAATAAAATTTAAATAAAAATACATTCAACAATACATCATCATAGTACAAATTAAAACTAATGATAATTTACAATCCTAACAGAACTAATTACCAAATAACATCATCTTTCTAGACTAATCAAAATGAAGGCAACTTTTATTATTAATCATCCTACTTGCTCCTAATTAAATTCTAGAACATCTACTGCATTTGAAAACATTATAAAATGAGAAATCAAATCTTAATGGTCAGAAATATTCAATGGCCTTTGTTTTTTTCCTAGATATTCCAGTACCAAAGCAAAAAAAGTGCATATTTAAAAAAAAAAAATGTTGCAAGAGTATAACATTTAATTTTTCATAAATTTGACTTCAAAAACAACAGAAAATGGCTCCAAGGAACAGACACTTTGCCTCAGGGTTAATCCATATACAACAAAACGTAACTTTGACACTCAACCACATTCAACTTTGTTTAATGGCAGCTTTTTATTGATGGCAACTAATCAGAAACACTTTACCTTGGCAAAACACATTTATTGGCATTACTGTATTTCCCCCTCCCTCCAGTTTCAGCTGTTGGCAAATAAAAGTCCCTTAGAGTACATCAAATGTATGAAGACGGACAAGGCAAAAACAGGTGATAAAATGATTGTGATGTTGCAGACACTAGTACTGAATCCCAGACATTCTAAAATAGTTTGTCTGGTATTAAACCAAATAGTTACTCTAACAAGTTACATTCATTCCAAAAGATTTCAATCCTGTCTTGCCAACTTGCTTCTATTACAGAAAGCCTCCCTACAACAGTATAATAAATGTATAGAAATTTAAACAGCTTACAGTTTCAAGCATTGTGGATTTCTATTCTATTTGTAAGTTACATTCCTAATTAATTTGGCCAAATCATGACTGGAAAAAAAACCAAACAACCAACCCAAAACACCCAACAAAACAAGAACAAAAGACCTCACAGCAAATGCTCCAAAAATAAAAGTACCACATATAGTTATTATTAAAAAATAAAAGGAGTACCATTTATTTAATACTGATGAAGCAAAGTTGCCACAGTAATACCTTTGCTTCTTCCTGGGTATATACATACATGTTCTTTCAGCATAAACCGAACTTCTCAGATGAAGTGAGCAAAAATTAAGGTTAAGAATGCCAGTTTAAAATTGTGTTAAGTGGCAAATACGAATTCATATAACTAAAGATACAAAAACACTCACTGAAGCATTGCTTAAAGACAAAACAATGTTGATCATTCAACTGATCATAACAAGCAGATACTACAAAGTATCTAAAAATAATCTGGCATAGTCCAGATATCTAAAGTGCTTTGAGTGATTATAATAGAGATTATTTATTAGATTTGTAGTCAAAAGGTGAGCTGGACCTAGTTATAACTTTTTATAAAAAAAAAGAAAAGAAATAAAATCATACATGGGATGATGCAAATTGATCAGTACTTAACCACAATCTGTTCACACTTAATTTTTTCTATCTGTAGGCAAACTTATTTAAAAAGACTGTTGCTACCCTGCATTTCTTTTTAGATTAAGAAAAAATATGTACCTTAAAAATCCTAAAGAAAATAGATAGTGGTCTACCGTCATACCATATACTACTCACCCCAAATGTAAACAAGAGGTTCAACATAAGTTCCCTGATTTCTTCTTCTTTAGCATTTAAAAACATAACTAACACTGGTATCTGCTGTCCAGATTATTTGCAGCATACTGCAAGATTTTGTAAGACTTCAGCTGTGGATAAATCAAGTCCTGACAACACCTAATACAAGGAAAAAAGTCAAATGAATCGAGTGTGAAGCTTCGGATCTTTTCCATGTGATAGTACCTTGGGGTTTCCATTTCAAGATCTGTATCAGCAGGGCAGGCACTCATGGTAAACTCAAGCAAGTTTGCAGTGTAAGTATTGAGAGATGAAATCCAACCAACAAATGCTGTGTGGATTTTCTTCCATTAAAAAGCTTATTTGTTTAGAAAGTTCTTTCTAATAAGACAACAATGGAAAAACAACATTTAGATTTATTCACATCTATTGCTTTAAGAACCTGGAACTTCAAGTTCTTCAGCAAAATGAGAATAAACCTTAAGACCAGATTTCCAAGTAGATATTTTTCCATTAAATATTAAATAGATTGTCAACACAACTAGCAGTTATGCTCATTCTTAAATACTTTGTAAAAATGCATATCATGAATTTAAAAAAAAACAAAAACAAAACAAAAAACCCCAAACACTCAAGAACATTTCCAGTTTCTTTTTCCATCCAAGTGTGCCACAGTTTGCTTTGGTTAGGAAACTTTTCCAACAATTGGATTTTCTCTGGAAAAAATAAAATATTATATGTAAATATTTTTAAGGTTAACATTTGCTTTCTTGTTCTCATCATAAAATTTTAACTATTATGCAAACCTGTATTTTTTGACTAATTTCTACCACTACTTGTGAAATGTCATGATTTGTGGAAAACCTCACACACTTTCATGTGAGACCTCAAAGTCAAAGTCAATTTTTCTGAACAACTTGGGTCAAATACTAAACTAGGCAAACCAACTCGCGGTTTGAACATTCTTTTTTTCTGGTGAATCAAGCCTTATTGATGCAAAGAAGTCAGAAAACCTGCTAGTGGTGATCCATAGATATCAACCAGGATTAAGGAGAATCAAAAGAACCTGCTTTGGAACAACAATGTACTCCAAAGAAAAGATTTTTTTTTTTTTTTTAACTTCACCAGAAATAGTATTTATCATTGGCAAGTATGGCGAGTAAGTTACAAACAGTAAATATACTGCATGAAAGCTACATTTCGGCAGTGTAATCTTTACAGTTTTACATAACTTGATATTTTAATTATTAAACTGAAACATGAAATTTAAAAAAAAAAAAAGCAGCTATGCAGACAGGGATAAATTTTGTGTGCACTTCAGATGTTAACTTGCAAGGAAACGACAGAGTCATTGTACTCGCTTATGGGAATCTCAGACACACAGATGAGTCCCACACCAGAAGAATTTCTATCTTTCAACAACTGGTAAAAAGCTGCATTACTACAAATTATATACCTTATTTTCTCCATGTCTTTGTGTTGTCTAAATCTACCTTTAGCTTAATTATCTCTACCTAAACAAGCCTGACCTCGTTCTGTGATTTATTTTTTTTTAAAAATACACATTTACGTAAGTCAAAATTATATAAGATACTTACTCACTACCGTATTTAGCACTAGATGATCTCTTCTTTCGGTATTTTTCATGTGATTCATTCAGCTTTTCTACTACATCTATTATCTGTTTAAGTGTATGAAAAGTTGCTACAGAATCTTCAATTGTGAAGTTAGAATAATCATCTGGTTCCTTCCGTGGACCTTGATAGACTGCTATACTTCCACATGCCTCTACAAAAATTACCACAATTATCCCAATTAGAATTTTGATACTTAACAGATCTAACTCTTATATAAATGGTGATTCTGAAATTCTGAAGTGTAAAGTTACTGTAGCTTATACATAAAATGGGTTAAGACAAAAGCAGGAGACAGTATCAACTAGTTGTATTTACAGTTCCGTGGCTTATTCTCTGCTGGCTGTGTTCAGCATCTTGAGTATCCAGCTCTCTCCTGTTCACATTAACAGAAGACGAATGCTTTCTTGCAGTTCAACCATGTTCAATAGAACTCACTCCATAGGAAAAGGAGAGCAAAGACAGAATAGCAACTGGCTATAGTTGTAGACTCTCTGTTTAGTATCTCTTATTAAAGCTATTTCATATATAAAAATTCAATTAGAACAATGTGCGTGCCTGATGTCTACTATAAAGAAATGACTGAAGAATGTCTGATACCAGAACACTAAGAGGACAAAAATATAATCTGTGCCTCTGCTCTCTGTTGTTTTCAGGTAAATTGTTAAGACATCAAACTGATGTTACAGGGCTAAAGAATTAGAGCTGAATAATATTAGTATAATTCTTCTGAATTATTATTTGAGTACCTTCCAACTTCTGTAGTTTAGACATGTTGATAGTGAAAAGTGAGTAAATCCTTTCTGTC